ATATTTATTGGCTCCTGCCTTTTACACCAAATCTGCTATATTCTACACATTTTCTTTTAATTGCAAAACCCATGTGTATTTTAGGAGGAAATTTGATCCATATGTTTCTGATTCATCTACAATGAAGTCACCATACTGGGGAGAACAGCCTGACAGTCACAAAGTCTTGGTAGAGTCTCTTTTTTCCTTTAGAAACAAGAAGTCAGGTATATGAAGAGCAAGCTCCCCGAGTCCTGCTGTGTTCAGGCTGCTGGTAAAACCCAGGCCTCAGGAGGCTTCAAGGGAGTGTTACATTTTCAAGATGTTAGTCTCTTTATGGAGGTCTGCCTTTTGATGGATCTCGTGAATAATGTCCTGGATGTTGCTTTTGCGAGGCGATGGAACTGACCCGCTCCGATGACTTCTTCGTTAGACTCTCCTGTGCTCTAAGTAAGCTTCCCTCCCATTGATTGGCCAACGTTTCCCAAGGTTTCTTTGCTCTCATTCCCAAGGCTGTTGCCATAGCACTTGATATAGTTAAAGGACAGATTATACCCTGTATGCCATCCACATGCCTACTGGATATTCCTATAGTCAGAGGAACAGTAGTAAATGAAAGCCCATGGCGTAACCCAGGACTGAGGCTGCCCACAGATCTGCCCTCATGGTGAGCAGGACCACTGCACTAGTCTGGTCTATCTCTTGAGTAAATAGATCATCCTTGGAGTGCAGCAAATTGAGGTATTTGGCTGGAACTCTGTGCCTCGAAACTTACTGAACTGCCTAAATTTGGACAGTAACTCAGGGAAAAGGGGAAGAAGAGAGAAGTTCTATTGGCTGGTTTTAAAAGATCCTGAGAATCATATACATCATTTCAAGTCAATCTGTCAACCCTATCAAAGTAAGAAGGAATACCACCCTTCCTTCTTTATACACAGTCTAAGATGATCAACTTTTTGTGGCTTCTTTAAAATGTTCCATAACGTTCATTTATTCAGCAAACAGTGATTGCCTCTGTCAGGCCCTATGCAAGGTACCAGGATAAAAAGAAGAGTGAGACACAGTCCACGGCCTCAAGGAACCTATAACACAGTGGCGCCAGTCAGACACATAATGTAAGCTAAGAAGTATTGGATAGCAGTGTGGTATATGGTTGAGTATCCACCATGGAGATCGAGAGACCTAAGTTCAAGTTCCAACTCTGCCACTTAATAGTTGTGAAGTCTCGGCTAAGTCATGTAACCTCTCAGCCTCAATGGCTTTGTCTAGTAGGGAGGAAAGATGAAATGAACCAAGTATATAGAATCTGTTCTGCATATATAGTAACTCTTATTACCATGCTCTGTTACAGGACCTGTGCTAAAGTATGTGCGAGGTCCCAAAGAAACACAGAGGAGGATGGGAAGAGAATCAGGGATACTCGATTTGGGAGAAAGAGTGACCTCTGAGCCGACTGTATTTCTAAGTGAAAGTTGCTGAGAAAAATATTTACCCAATATGTTAGGAGTTCCTTTTCTCCCGGAATTAACCTCAAATACTCTGACATCGTAAGACGCAGAGGGTACACACACTCAGTACTGAGACTGCCTTGCTTACAAATAGCTCCTATGGCTCACAGGACCTAGACTTTTTATGTGCCCTGAATTTTCAGTGTTTCTATTTCCCTTGCCCCCAATTCCTATTCCTTCTTGTCAAAGTTATAAACTTGAGCAGCCTTTGGCCTGGTCTGCACGCTGTCATCAGTGATCTTTTTAAAATATGAACTTGATAATGTCCTTTCCCCTTATGAAATCTTCTTGGAACTTCCCATCCTTCACGATAAAAACCCACCCACTTTAGCGTGGTCCATTTAGCTCTTCATGGCGTAGTCTGTCTCCCTTGCCAGACTTACCTCTTAGCTTCCCACTGCATGTTGCCCTTAAAACTATCACGACTGGACTCATCCATGCATTGCTGTCTCTCTCTCCTTTATGGTTCTGCATGTGCATTCCTTTGCTTAAAATGTTCTGCCTTCCATTTTCTGTCCTGTCTTTGAAAAACTCAAGATTCATCTCGGCTATGACCTTCTGGCTTCCTTTCCTGATCTACCCATTCTAGATTAGCTGTCCCTCTTCTGGTTCCCGATAACACCTTCACAGATTCTGCCATGACTCCTGTCACCCTATAGGCCTTTCTGCATTGTGAGTTTCTTGAGCTCATAAATAATTCCTGTCTTCCCACCTGCCTCAGTCTTGGCTCATGAAATGTTTGTAAATGAATCACAGAACCTTAGAGAAAATCTCAGCTATCCTCCTACTTGGAGGTGCATGAATGTCCTCTGCAGAGATTTAACTGCAGTGCCTAATGAAAGGGCTACTTTGAATGTCAGCCTCCTCTGTGTGTAGGGAGAAAGTGGAAGACCATCTGAAGCAGAGACAAAAAAATGAGTACTATTCCTGGAAGAAGGGCCATTGGCTCTTGTTGATTATCCCAGTGTCCTGGCAAAAGAGTCTAACTAGAATTAATCTCTTCTTGAGTGGTCCTTGGAAAGAGAACAGGGGAGTGGTGGGTGAGGAGGCACACATTGGAGCAGCTCCATGTGCTCGGGGAGTTTGTTGTACTCTAGAAAGCAGCTGTGACTGGGAACTCAGCAGGTTTTAAGTTCACAACACAATCCTGGAGCCCATGTCAGCCATCCTGGGGCCTGAGTCTGGGATTCTGCCAGATAAATGTCTAGACATTAGGCAAGACCAAGCTTCACCAACAAGGCTGTTTGGTAGCAAGAAATGCCCACAGTGCCTGACCATGACCCAGTGACCCCACCCCGCCCCACCCCCACTTCAGCCTGATGAAGTAGTTTGGGTGTCTTAGATAATTGTTTGGAGAGACCCTAAGGAAGGAGATTTTGGATAATCTGCCAAGTATGTGCTTGAATGATTATGGAAAACATAAACGTTTATGGAGCGTTCACGTTGATTGCACGGTGATGAGGAACCCAGTGGCCCTCCAGGCGCCCCTTGAAGTTCAATGCTCTGATGGGTAGTCTTTCCCGCTTACAAAGATGTTCACTGGCTCCCAACATCATCACTACAAAAGGGCTCCAGTTGAGGTTTGGCTAAACAGGGTGCAGTTCTTAGGTATCAGACAAAGGGCAGTTCTACTCTGCTTTGTTTTGCTCTATTTTTTGCAGTAATGAGATTACTAGAGTCTAGAAAGGGGGGCTTTCACACATGTGGAATTCTCTAGGCTCTGAACTGAACCCGCTACCACATCCTGCCCAATCTGACCACGGCTCATCCTCTTAGGCCTCCGTCAGCCATATTTACCATTCCATTTTACTCTGCAATGCCACCTCTGAAATGTGAGCGTGGCCTTGTCTGAGCCCCCATGTGCCTGTGCCAAGGTGGTGGCACCTTAATGATCACCGTGTGGTTCTGTGGCACACACAGAGGATTTCAAACACAAGGAATTTAATATAGAAAATTGGTAACACAAGGGATAGACGAGCCAGGAAGCTATAGAGGTTAGTGAAACAACCCAGAGAATAATGATATAGCAGAAGCTGTGGTTTCCTTAGGTTACAGGGTCTAAGAGAGGAGGACACCTGGCTGGAGCCTGGGGACCAGGCTCACCTGGCAGAGACTGGAGCCTCAGAGAAGATGCGTGCGCTGGGAGAGAAAACAAATTACATTGCTTTCTCCCATTCTCTCACCTTCTACTCTCCCCTCAGTGACCTCACATTAAACCCAGCCAGAAGGCAGCTGCCAAGGGAGCCTGGGAAACTCAACGTGCTATCAAAGAACAGAGAAGAGCAAGAACGCATCTGAAGGCAAACAAGACAAACACAGGCACAGTGACCTCCCCTCCTCCTGCTTCTCCTACCACTTCCTTCCTCACGACCTCAAAACATCCTTCTTTAGCCATTTTTCCACGCTTTTGTCCAATCTTAGAGAAAGAGATGTCTTTAATTTTCCTGAGAGAGAGAGAACTGGTATGAAATGTAACTAAAATGCCTACAAACCCCAGAATTCATACGGTAGACCCTCCCAGCTTTATACGTCTCTAGAATGTGAGGGAATGAACTACCTTTTGGAATCAGGAGGCAAGAGCGCTTCTAAAATCATGTTATGGGATGTGGAGAAATTACCTGCAGCAGCCCTCTTGAAAAAAAATGCCTCCTGCTATGAAAAAAGTGCCAATATCTTTCTTGAATTTTAAAAGCCATAATAACAACTTGCATGTTCACTAAATACGGTCAAGCTAATTCTATTAGACAAGTCTCTGACATTTAGACAATGTACACTCATTAACATTAAAATCAAGAATGATCTTTTTCCCTGAGTGTTTTCTCACTGTTGTCTCCCTTTCGTAGACAGGAAACTGAGGCCAATGATATCAAAGCCTGAAACTGAGGTCTCCGTTAGAGTGAAGACTTATAAATGGCACAGAAATAATCTCACCAGTGAACTGATTCCTGCCGGCCTTTCAGTGAACCGTTTCTCTGACTTGGGAGAACTGGCTGAAAGAAAATTTCATATCTCTTCCAAAACACGCAGGACACTGCTCCTGCACCCACCATTCCACACTTTAAAAGCAGAGTAGAGCTGACTGATGTACCTGGGACTCACAGAAAGACACTTTGAGATCTGGGTTACACGCTGTGCTGCCTGAGGGCCTTACCCTGCTGGTTTAAGCCTGGGTCCCCCGTGCACCCTGAAAGCCCAGCCCTGGGCATGGCATACAGCAGAAACCCAGTATTTACTGAATAAACAAAATAACTTGAACTCGGAGGACTTTAGTCATTATTATAGGCTATACCACTTTCAGCTTTCTGAGGAAGCTGAGTCTCAGTCCTACCATCTGTAAAATGGAGATAATAATATAGCCCCATTTACTTCACAGTATTATTCAATCAAATAAGCTCGTATTCTAGTAACAAAGATATTATTTTTATAATGCTCTAAATAAAACAACTTCCCACACCAATGCTCGCATACACATTTATTAAGATGCAGCCAAGTGAAATGTGTCAACTCTTCCTCTCAAATACAATCTTCTTTATTGGTGTATTACAATGCCCAGGGCTGGGCGTTGATGAACATCATCATCAAAACCAAATGCCAGCTTTTTACAGACATGGCCCAAACAGTGCAGCCCAAAGCACCATTCTAAACTACAAGAAATCTGAGAACATTTTATTCATAGGCTTGCTTTTTACTATTGTTGACATATACACTTTATTTTTAACGGTCATTGCAGATTCGCATTTAAAAAAAAAAAATCTTGTATTCTAATTTAGCAGAAAGCAGAGATTATCTCTGTGAAAGACAATAACAATATCGAGATAAAGCTGCTTTTCCTCCATATTTGTCTAAATGAGGAACATGCTGCCATTCACGGGGACACTAATAACACATGCACGTAAGCCAAGAACTAACAGGTGGTGTGGGTGCCCACCCAGCATCTTCACTTTACTCTGGGTCCTTATCCTCCTCTGAAAAATGAGGGACCGACTTCTTTGCGACAACGTTGTCCAGTCTCTGTCCTTGCAGATATGGGTTGATGCTCTGAAAAAATATATATGGTTTGGCATTATCCCTGAACATCGGATACAGACATCCCACAAAATAGGTGAACAAGAATCATTTCCTCCCTACTAGGTTAACTACAAGGTAACCTAGTGGAACCTACCACCTGACAAATGACTACTCCAGGGCATTAACCGATACCTCAGTAGTCAGAGAAATGTTGTCTGACTGACAGATATGTCTAGGTGTGTCTTTTACACGGCTGTAAAGTTCCTATTGGATATAATACATCCCCCACCTTTTTGGCACAAAGATTTGATACGAATCTGCTAACATGCTCTCACTATCAACTTAGATTTGCAAGTCCCATATGAAAGAGAACTGTTATTCTACAGCCTTATTTAGGTGAGGAAGAGAATCTGAAATGAATTAAATTGTTTTACTTCACAAAGAATGTTCTTAAGATGACAGAGCAGGGCCAAGTAGAAATTAGCATCTACAGACACGGATCATCCTATTGTTGTGTTGATTCTTTCATGCCATTATTCTACTAAAGAGGATTCATCAGGGCTCTAACAGTTATTTCCACCTTCCCTCAGTCAAATTGAAAAACTGAAGAAAAAGGAGAAGGTTATATGGAAGGCTCCTTTATTTTTGACTCAAGACTCCATAGTCTGAAATCTCTTTCATCTGTTGGAATTCTGAATGAGTCAAAGTTTTTCCATTCCTTCTCGAATACGTATCTATTTTTTGAGGTTTGGATTTGAACTAGTAATTGCAGCTTTACAACATAGCAGCAAGCAGAAAAATTTCAAAGTTTTGAAACATTTGTTTATTGAAGTTGCCTTCCAATAACTGAACAAAAATATAAGGAAGCTGTAGGTACAAATGATTGGCGATCCTACTGGATTAAAAGTCCCCAAGGGGACAGTTCGAAGGTGGATCTCTCTTGCCCATGGGACATGGTATGTCCTTTAGAAGGGCGAGCAGACATTCTCCAAAGAGAAGGAATGGAACCTGAGATTAGTATTGGTAAATGTCCTTCCACATTCCGACAGGTAATGAATCATGAAAGGCCCAACTTACTCTGCAAAAATATGTCACAAACAAGTTAAGAATTACAAAATATGCAATGTCCTCATAGATATGAAAAGTGATATATCACAGAAGACTTTGCTAGGAAAGAATCTAAAATGTTTAAAACAACTAACATACTTTTTATACCAGGGATTGTCAACTATAATGGCCTGGCCTACCCCAGGAAATCATACCAGAATCTTTGCATAGGTGGAGCAAGTGTGGACTGAAAAAGTGTATTTAGTATCATAAATATTTTGACTTTTTTAGTAATAATACTTATTCTGAAAATTCTAATATATTAAAAAGGGCATGAGATGTTCACGTTCATTAGATAAAAGTTTGATAACCTCTTTAAATAAACAGTAGATTGCAAATATTAACAAGATCTATCTTAAGAGTTAAAAAGTTTGCAAAGTCATTTAAAAGTGAGTTAACCTTGCACTCATGAAGCAACCAGGAATTCAATTGGATTTGAGCAAGTATAGGAAGTTACATAAAACCACCTGGGGCTCGGCTATAACTTTGGGGAGAATCCCCTTGGCGAGGGACTGTTATGGAAGATAGTCCTTCTGCCCAGACCCAGAACATGACAAAGATTGGAGGGGAGGGGAAGTAAATTGATGAGAGAGTTAAAGGAGCAGTCAGTTGGACTTTTTTGATAGATGTTTTAACTACTATATTGAATCCTAACTTAAAAGTACTACTATAAAAGGTACTTGGTTTTAACTATCTTCTGAAGAACTTGAGGCACTTATATAGTTATCTTCTCCCTTGGGTGAGAGACTGGCTAGGTGACACAGCAAACACTAGTCCCATTCACAACGGGAAGAACCACTGGGCTGTCATCCTTGCTTTTGGTGTCCTCTGGAAACCCACAGCACATGCTGAGCTTCATTGGAGAATGCCCTGATTTTTCCCCACTAAAAAAGCCCATAAATTCTTTATACTGATCCATGCACTTGGGGTGGTGGTTAAAGCCTTCAATTAAGATGGGAACACCCTCTGAGGCCTGACAACAGGGAGGCAGGTTCTGCTTCTCCTTCAGTCCTGAGAGGCCCCTGGTATATGGCAGGAGCATGGGTCTTTGTAGATGCCTGAGAATAGAAAGAACTTGATGCCTCTGGGTCGAAGTGACCCTAATTTTCATAAATTCTAAGCTTTTCCTATGAGGAGGAAGTTGAGTCCAAAGTAAAACCTTTATAACATGTGTCCTAGCCAGAATTCGGAGTTTTGGTAAAACTTTGGTCTCATCACTGAACCTAAATCGTGACCCACAGTCATTACTCAAGTCAGGGCAGAAGGAATGGTGAGCCAGGCAGTAGAGACAATTAAAGTTCTGTGCCAAGTTACTCATTTTGGGTCCATCACTGGTCTTTTTTGAAAATGTCCTTGTTGCGCCATGGGGAGATATTCAAGCCATCTTACTGGTAAATTATGTGTGCTCTGAGCTCCTGGAATAGAATTTCTTGATGTTCTATCAAGACCACATTACACCCTTCAGACCCTTCCTGCCACCATCTGCCAATGGAAACTGTAATCACCCAAGAAAAACCCCTAATAATCCCATTAACTCTCCCAAATTAGATGTTTCCAAATGTCAGAACTACATCTCACATAGAAAACTGGCTGTGGGTCTTCTTTATTTTCTCAGGCAGCACAGAAGCTTATAACTCTCTGTTGCAAGGATCTGAGAATTAATACTGAGTCTAGAAAATTCACACCTCTAAAAGCACTCTCTGACAGGACTCGGCAAAACTATTCAGCATGACCACAATGACCACTGTCCAGAGTCCCAAATTTTGTCAGAATCCCGGCACTTGCTATTCTAAATAAATAGTTGGTAGCTTTGGGTATAAGTTTTGGTTTGTATATTTTAACTAAAATGGTTATAATCTGGCAGCACTATGCTATGTAAGAGAAGGATCTTAACTTTTTCTCTATCTGATGAGAAAAAGCTGGCCTATGGCCAGGCACTTCTGCGTAGGAAGGCAACAGTGAATTAGCAGAATGGAAAGTGATCACTCATTAAGTTCCACTGCCATCAAATGCATGGGAAACCCAAAGCAAATTCGACAATTAGCTTTACATAAGGCAACTCTGTAGCGCCTAAGTGAAGCACTCAGACAGACATCCCACCTTGGGGAGCCCTGGGATGGGTAACAAAGCCTGAAGTAAACTCAGAGGTCAGCAAACAAATATAATTGATCTAGTGGATTTTTTTTTATAATTAATCTGGCTAGGCCAAGAAAAAAGGTGTATAGGAGGAATGAGTTTTGTTCATCTCATCTTCTGTGCCCATATTCCTTCAAAATTATTGCCTGGAGCACACTGTTCATCACATCCCGTCTTGTGCATTTATATAATTGATGTGTGAGCAATTTCCTCCAGTGGCCTACAAACCCTTTGAGGAAAGACATATCCCCATGTACTCCCTGCATTCTTCACACCTATGCAAGAGATACAATGTGTATTTCCTGTGTGCAATAGAGGTGATGGAATCACCACGCAACTTGGCATTCCAGTAAACATCACTTGCGAAAGCCTGAGAAAGCCATCTCAGAAACCAAGGGCAGACTTTCTGGGCATGGCCCTTGTCGCACGGGACCACTGTCCTGCCCTCCCAGGACTGCAGGTGAAAAGATTCTGCTACATTCTAACAACTGAAAATTACAGCTTGTCAAGTGCCCCACTCAGAAGCTTCAGGCATCCCAACAACAATCCCGCCAGTTGCGCATTACCCTCCGCTTTCGTCTCTGTCCTCCCTTCATCTTCTCGTAAAGGAGTTTCTTGTTCTAGAGTAGGGAGAAAAGAAAACAAATGCAGAAGTATGGATCAAATTTGGTGAACATCTATTTTAAAAGCAACACTTGTTGTGTCCCCTGGATATTTGCATATACATATTTTGGAAACAAAACTAGATGAAAGGAATGTCATGTCAGAAAGACAGACCGCAAGGGAAAAGCTGGTGGTTGTGCAGCTTTTAATAAAGTTCTCTGCAATGCCCTGAGGCACATCAGTGTCATCGACAATCATATAAATAGGAAAATGCGACATTCTAAAACACAAGAGGTGTTGGAAACCCGTCTCCTCACTTTGAACAGCTGTTTAAAACAAACAATTTTATCTCACTTTAATTTTATATCTAACTCCCTTTTTATGAGCGTTGTATACATAAATTGTTCTCCAGAGTAGTGTCTTACTATTAAAAGCAATCCTCTAGGTGAATAAATGAAACACTCTTCTGCGACCTTTCCTCCTGTGGCTTCAGTCGGTGCACCCAGTCAAGACAATCGGAAAACCATTTGGTCTATAACATTTTTAATGGAGCGAACCTTTTAAAAACTGCCAAAAAACTTCTTGGCAGAAGGAAAGTTATGTTGGGAGGAAAAACGGGATCCGTTACCACAGTTTGTATAAGTGTTTCCACATATTGCTATATTTCAAACACATAATGGACTTAAATGAGCTCTAGAATATCAGACACATGCTCAACAGATTTCCCTTCTGTTGGGATTATAAAAGACAGACACTTAACCTGGAGGCAGAATGGGAGAAGGGGAATTGGGGAGCTTTACTTGTGTTGGGTTTTTTATTTGATTTTTAGTCAGAAGGGAAATCATAGATACTGAGGTGATTCATCTTATTCTAAATAAAATTGATCTGACATTGATATAAAAAAGAGGAGACGACAGAGTTTTGGTAAAGAACAACACTTGTATCCCCTGAACGGTCTGGATAAAAAGATTTCTTTTTTAATGATAGATTTGGAAATGAAAATGACAAATGCCAAGAATGAGCTCCATAATTTTCACATTCATTAAAATCTACCTTACCCACAATTTATAATGCATAATCTCTTGCCCAACCTCAACTATGCAGGGAAGCTGTGCCAGGGAGAGAAGGAGCCTCTGCTGCCGAAAGGCCAAGACTGGCCACAGCCTCCACCTCATGCTCACTTGGGGAGCTAATCAACTTAATATCAAGCAAAATCTTGCCATTCGCACCACAATGCTAGACCTTGAGGGTATTTTGCTAAGCAAAATAAGTCTGGTAGGGAAAAGGCAAATATGTCATTTCATTCGTATGCGGAATATATTTTAAAAATAACTAACAAACAACAAAACAAACTCATAGAAGAAGACAACAGATTAGTGGTTACTGGAGAGGAAGCGGGTAGAGGGAAGGCAAAATGGATTAAGGGGGTCAACTGTATGGCAATGGTTGGAAACTAGACTTTTGGTGGTGAGTATGCTATAGTGTATACAATATCGAATTATAATGTTATACACTGAAATTTACATAATGTTATAAACCAATGTTACCTCAGTTAAAAAAAATACACATATATATCAGAAGGGGGGAGAGGCAGACATGTAGATCATTCACTTGAAGAGGATATCACTGTGAGGCTCATTCCTGTCATCTGTAGTTGCCTTTCTGGAATGTAACAATTCCTGATGCAAAGAGAATGTCCTGAGAGTTCATGCCAGAGCTGGGGAAAGGGACTGGGGAAAGGGAACGAGGACAGAAACTTCTTCAAGTGCTCCTCCATGTTCAGCGGCCTGAGCAGGAGGGGGTGCACAGGACCTGAGAGTTGGTGCCACTGGGTGGGACGGCCAATCAGCTATGACAGTGTTTCACTGTGTCATCAGCAGGACGGAGGCACCATCATTTTAGTCACTCTCCTTTAGAAGGTTGTGGGGTAGATTATACCCATAAGAGCCTTCATTCAAAAGGAAACACAAGAGGTCTGAGAAGTCGTCCTCTCGAAGATGGTCCCTGTGTTTCCCTAAGAGCGAGGGTTAAGATTAGCAGCATGATGCTGTCCCACCCTTGCATGAAAGTGGACGGGACATTCCAGATTAGTCTTGCTTTATAGGGATTTAAAGGCAGCGATTGCCAGGTATCGTGTGGGTAAAAGAAGTACACAAAATGAATGAGAAGAAACCAGCCTCCTCTCCTGATACTCATTCCTTGTTGATGGGGTAGGGAGTGAGGAATGGCGAGCCTGTTCCCCATGTGAGTAGCAGGTTCGAGTTCGTGAAAAGGGCTTTCCATTGTGCCATCAAGATTCTGGATAACTGCCCAGATGTTGGTTTCAAATTCCATTCCTAAATGGAACCAGGGAAGCTTCTTGGAGAAATGTCTGATTCCAGGGCTAGAGCAGAGAAAGTACAGGATGAATGAAGTTGGAATATCTTATTGGGCCAGAAAGTAAAGGGAGTCCTCAAAAAATGATGGGACATGCCAAAAGGAAAGAAAAGCCAGCTTGCAGAGACTCCCACTGGCTAAATCTAGGACAGTTTGAACACCAAAATAATAACAGGTATAGACATATCCATACTGATATTAAACACAATTGTAGATAGATAGATGATAGATGATAGATGAATGAATAAATAGAACAGAGGAAAGTCTTGCTTAGAGCAAAATGCCAATCAAGAAATGCATAAAGAATAGAGTAAGAAAATCACCATTAAAAAACTACTGCAGTTGTAACTGATTCTGGTAAGTATCATCAATGGATATGAAAATTGATGGTTAAAAGTTAATGGGGACAGAATATTCAGATAGTCTCAAAGTATCTCCCCACAGATTAATTATTAATTTGAAAAGCAAAAATGGTAATTTTACACTAGGAAAAAAACAGGCAGACACTACTTTAACCAGGTCCCCACCAATTCTGGGACAAACTGGCATCGTGTGCCTCCTGATAAGAAACCCTAAGAACATCTCAGAAAGGCATAACTCATCTAATCACATGGAAACATGAGATAGATATTGACTGAAGAGCACTAAACTCTTTAGACATGTTGAGGTCATGGAAGGCAAAGAAAGGCAGAGAGGGTCCTTGTCTCTCATTTCTCCCCTGGCTCAGGCTCTGGCCATGTTCAGCTGCTTCCATTTAAAGAAGAGCCTTTAATTGCCTGAGCTGGTGATGAAAAGATGTGATAAGTACTTGGAAAAGAGAAATATTTGCTGTCAAGACAACTTTTTCCTGTGAGTAACACTCGGCAATTAACATGTGAAGGGTGGTGGGGAGTGGCATCTACAGCAGCCAGCCTTCGGTCTTGGCCACTCAATGCTGTGGGAATGCACACTGTCTGAAAGGCAACTAGTCTCAGATAGGGCCTGATAGGACTGCTGTACGGGACACATTCTGAGCGATGAGCCATGAAAAGATAAGGAATTTATCCAGATTTTAAAGAACTCTTGAAAACAGATGGTCTGGTTCCAATCCCAGCTCTGCCAGTCATCAGCTCTGTGGTGTTGGGCAGCCTATCCAAACTCCCTAAGCCTGTATTTTCTCATCTGTAAAATGATAGTAATAGGAATGGGCAGATTGAATGAGATAATTCATGTAAAGTATTAAGCATAGTGTCTGGTACACAATACATGCTAAATATTGCTATCTCTTAGCATATTACAAAATAGAACTACTATTCATCTTTGTATTCCCATCACCTAACACTGGCCCGGAAAGCATATAATTTGCATTTAATAAATGTTTCTGGATGCATTAACAAAGATACAAATGCAGGATATAAGACAGACATTGATATTTATATGCGAATCACTGCTAAGAATCACTGCTAAATATACGAATCACTGCTAAAATCACCCAGCTAAGCTCTAGCTGATGTCAAAATCAGGGAAATATTATTAGAAAATAAGAAATCAGGGTCTTGTATGTGAAAGATAATTGCTTTGTTAACTTAAAGGATGGTTGACTTTAAGATGAGCTTGAGGCCATCATCATTCTATATAAACACTGAGGAAGGCTTATAGACCCAGCTTAGAAAAGCAAGACATACTCAATTCACACTTCCATGTGAAAATCAAGCAAACCAAGTTTTACTGCTAGGTGGTAATGAGAAAATGAATGGAGGAAATTTTAGTTTAAACAAACACATCATTGCAGATGATAAAGATGTATAAACATTGGTCCTCGGTCACTGATCTGTAATCGTACTTCTTTTTTACACTTAGTCCTAACTTCTACTCTTGAGTGCTGACGTAGACAGAGAATAACTGAGGGGAAAAAAATCGGTATTTAAAGGATGCAAAGAGAGAATGAAAGATGGTGGTTGGCCTCTTACTGGAGTGCTGAGTGTAAGTGGAACTTGGTGAGCGAGATCTTGAAAGGTTCTGAAGAACAGGCAAGGAAAATTGGTGAGAGAGAAGTTGCCATCTCTCCTGCTTCCCCAGGTGGGTCTCTGCCCTGACTCACTTTTCTCAGTCTCCTTCTTGCTTCCTTTGGCTCATTTCTAGCCCACCGATTACGCCAGGTACCGTCTCAACTTTAGATCTCAATGCTGCCCTTTTAAGCAATATTGACTCCGTCGATGGCTCTTGTACAGTTGGCCATGGGAGTCCTCAGTCCTGGATCTTCCTCTACACTTATTTTCCATCTTTCCCAGTAAATTGCACCTGGTGCTCATGGTACAGCTAGAACACGTAACTGAACAGTGCTAAGTTGGGTTCATTTTATTGTCATGCACTTCTCAACCAGAAGACTGTAAGCTCTTTGAAGATCAGTACCATGTCTTGATGACTATTGCATCTTGAGCATATAGCACAGTGCCTGGAATGAAGAAAGCTCCATATTTTCTACTTGGTCTTTGTTGAATCCACCCCTTGCTTCTGTTTGGCAATACTTTTGCTCATCTCTTGCAGATTCCTTCCCAGTGCTCCTCTGTGATCTTCTACTCTCTCCCTCCCTCTCTCTGCTCCCTTCTTTCCTTCCTACCTCCTTCTCTTCTTCATTCTTTTTTTTTTAAGATTCCCTAGAGAAAAAGTTTGTACTACTCACTTCATATAAACCTGATATCTCTTCTTTCCTCCTCATTCTATATTTATGTCATATTCCAATTCTAGTCAGTTCCCTGGCCTCCTTTGAAAAGTCTTAGATTCTCATCACGTTGGTGAGATACACTTAAATTCACTATGTTCACAGCCTTCACAACTGGAAATACTTCCTATATTGTTTTCCTGCCTTTAGTCCCCTCTATTACTATTATGCCAACATTATAACTTCCTTTGTAGAAGCCTTTCGCGATTGCAGTCTCCTATTCAAGAACCTAGAGATGTTTGCCTATGTAATTCAACATGTTCAAACTCTACTAGTTGGATTCAAAATGGCTTCATAAGCCAGTTCTTCCAAACAGAACTGTTTCCGAAACAAAAGAGAAATAGAATAATCCATATTGGAGGAAGCAAAATTAACTTAAGGGTGTTGTTGCTTTGTTGTTTTAAGACAGGAAATGTGTGCATGTTGAAGGCTGCATGTTAAATCAACTCAGTGCAGTGTTAAGCATGATGACGAAAAAAATGAAAATGATCAAATAGTGAAGAGGAACACCTCTCTCTAAAACAGTGTAAAAGGAAGGGAGAGTTTAGTCCTGAGACAACATTCTTAGTAAAGCAAGAAGCAAAATCAGTTGCCAGTAATGAGTTGAGAAGGGATCAATAGCTTTAGAAGGGCTTAGGCAGTTAGGAATATCTGCTCATTTACTCATTTATTCACTCATTCCACAGATGTGTTGGCCATCTTGATATGTGAATTAACGCTTGGAAACATTTCCCTTTCCAAGTGCCTATGTTTCCATTTTTGTCACATTTGATTACACAGGCCCAACCACAGGGAAATAGATATATTCCCATTTAAACAATATCTTATTTGACTCATTGTTCTAGCCTATAAAATTCATCCTGAATCCTAACTCTGTCACTCAGTGCTAGCCCATCCAACTTTGTGTCATCCTTTGAGAATCTGATGAGTACACGTTCTATATATTTTTTATTACAAACATTTATAAAAATGTGGACATGCAGGATACCATGTGAAATCTCTCTCCCTATTGGCGTGGACTCTTTAACAAGCTCCCTTTTGGTGATGTTCTCTTGCCTGGGCTATATCTTACCATCTCTTCCGAGAAGAGATCATGAAAGATCTCATCAAATACTTTGCTGAAGTCCAAATGCACCATGCTTACTTTATTTTCTTCATTAAGCTGGCAAATAAATGAATAATGCTGGCAAGTAGAATATAATTAGTTTGACTAAAACTTGTTTTTAGCAAACCTGTGCCAAATGGTCATGATTTCTCTTTCTAAGTGCTTATAAACAATTTCCTGAACTGGCATTTATAGATTCTTGCCTGATATTGACAGCAAGTTCAATGCTACACATTTTGGACTTTTTCTTCTCTTTTCATAACTCAATTACATATATCTGTTTCTAAGCTTCTGGCATCAGTTTTCCTTGGTTCTGCAGAGGTCATCTCCCTCAGTCTAGAGATAACGTTTGCAAATTTTCTCAGTTACTTTTTTTTTTTTTTAATTATATGCTCCCTATAACAGCTTTGTGAAATACTGGTAAGACTTTAGGATGTGTTATGACCTAGGCTGTAGAGTAGACTGGAGTAGAAGGCTCTGGAAACTATAGCTGATGAAATCAGTTCAGGTCATCAGCTCTTCAGATAAGCTGGTATATTGTACTCTAGACATATAAGTGTGGTTTGGAATGTGATTATATAAAGTCCCTCTCAACCAAAGATTTCTGAAAAATCAGCCTCTAAACAATTTTTCTTCTCTCTCCCTACCCACATTGCTCATCTCTGCCATCAGTACCTTTTAGAGTGCCAAAGTATAAAATCTACTAGTAACTATGATTGAACTTACCCACTTGCCCAGGCCTGGGTAGTCATGTTCTGGATCATAAAGATGCTGGTGCAACTGGAATTCTCGACTGAACTCTGCTGTGTCAGGGGTGTTTTCTAGACATCCGTCATCTACTGCAAACAGCAAAAGGTTTTTGAGGAATGGCCAAGGCATTTATCATTATTCTAAGAGTTAATTTATTAAAAACAACTAGACACCCAAAAGTTAGATTCTATTCACATCAGTCACTCTAAGTCACTTACCCTATGGGATTTGCTCATCCCAAACTCTCACTCTGCCTCCTGACAATGAGACTGAGACTCGTTGGCTGTCCACCAAACTCACCTCCCTTCCCTACTCTGCATGCAGCCAATTTCTCAGCCTTGCTTTGCAATCAGGTGGCGTTATATGCCTGAGTTTGGGCCAATGGGATGTGGGCAGAAGTGAAGTATTCCACTTCCAGGCCTGGGCTATAAAAATCTCCTGTATGAACCTCACTCCCTGCCCACTCACCCCTCCACCCCCGCTCCTCATTGTTCTGCTGGTTGCATGTGGCCAACCAGGGCAACTGTGGATGTCAAGTGTAAAGACGAAAAATGGCAGTCTGAGTTACTGAACCTTTCACCCCACCACACACACCCTCATCCACCTCTGGCAGAACTTCACACAGGTGAGAAATAAACTTCTATTGTGTTAAGCCATTATAATTTTTTATCTGTTATAACAGCAAGCATTTCCTTAACTAATATACTCCCATTCCATGTGACTCACTTTGTTTTCTCTTAGGTAAGCTCCTTAGAAACAATTTCAGCTTCTTGGAGAAAGTACATTTTACAAGAACAACAACAATGGATAGTACTTGACGTTGTGTGTTCTAGTGATAATGGGATAAACTTTGAAGTCAGACAAGACCAGAGCTCAGGGTTCAAATCCTGGTTCATAAGTGATAGATGGGTTTAGTTTCTTGGGAAAGTTAACTTAGTCTCTCTAAGTCCATTTGTCCATCTATGAGGTGAGAATAATCATATCCTTACCTTACAGGGCTTCTATGAGGACTAGGGATAATCATATACAGAACATCTGGCACATAATAGGTTTCTTATTGGTTTTAGTTCTCTTCCCACTATCTGTCTTTAAATGACAGGGGTGTTTGTTTATTTGTTTGTTTGTTTTTCACTGTGACTACTCTTTGAAATAAAGCATGTCTTCCATTCAAACCCAAGAAAGGTTGTTCCTCTTGGCTGCAGCTGTTACCTATGCCTTATCATTACTAGACACAATGCTCTGAAAATGAGTCATTTTTTTTCCTGCCTCTAATGTGCTTTAGGTAACAGCTTAAAAGAGGGGGGCAAGGAGGGATTGTGAATTTTGTGCAGGGCTAGGGAGACGAAAGAGTCCCTTTTCAAAGGGATAACGAAGCCCCAAAGTCAATGCTAAAAGGGATCTAAGGCAGTCAGCCAGCTGGTCTAGTCTCTTGAGACTGCTCTAAGACCTTCCAGCAGCAACATTCAGTCTCTCAGCTCTTAGCAGCATGAAGCTGTTGTGGAAGTCATTAGCATTTTGAAAAAAATCCTTAATGTATCTCTATTGTGGCTCCCCACTTTTCACTGAACTATTTATCTAACTTCTTCATCTACAGCAATTAACATATAGGAAAAGGAGAGCAAAAGTTCTGGCAGTCTGCACATGGCAACTTTACAACCTTTTCATAATTGTTTCCCAAGTACCTCTGAGTGGGCCCAGACTGAGAGGTAGAGATAAAGCCCGGCTCTGGGAATCTAAGGTGTCTTGGCTTGAAAATGTGCCCTGGAATTCACAGCCTATCTCTGAGAATGGACAATATGGACTCTCTGAGTTCTGCTGCTCTGTCCAGGGTTAGTGAGTCATAATTCAAAGGAAAACATAGCATGGCAGGGAGAAGTCAATGTTTTATTCTTGGATTGTTCGACTGTGTGGTGTCATGATTCTCAGTCCGTGAAGTATATCTCAAGCAATTTCTTACATATTTCTTGCAAATGATCATATCTAGTAAAGATTTCCTTTTTAGAATGCAAATTATGGTAGAACAAAGAATGAGCAATATGTTAACTTAATGGAAAGATAGCAAGGAAATGGCAGATAATCTGTGACAAGAAAGGGTCTGGAGGTTGGGTTTTTATCCAACTCTATCAACCCACCTCAATTACTCTGTCTCATAGCTCTGAAGTACTTCATTACATAGATCTGAATTTTTCTTTTTTCAGGATAACCTAGAACTACATGGTATTTTTTTTTAAAAGGCACTGACAATGTCTTCATTTTACAGATGAAGAAGACACTTAGGTCCAGGGAAGTAAAGTGGCTACTGTAGTGAAAACTGGAACGCAGATCTCTTGGCTCAAACTGGTTCTCACTCCATTCTCCTATAGCAGTGGTTCTCAGCCTTTACACAGGAATCATGTGGAAGGGAGATTAAAATACAGATTTCTGGGTCCTACCCCCAGAGTTCCTGATTTAATAGGTCTGGGGGCAGGCCTAACAGTTTGCATTTCCAACAAGTTTCCAGGCGATGCTGATGCTGCTGGTCTTGGAACCACACTTTGAGAACCACTGCATTATATTATATCTAATCCATTTAACCAAATCCCCATGAAGATAATTGGTCTTCCAACTCTGAACTGGTCTTTCTTCCTACCCATCCAAAGCCCTAGGAGCAAGTAAAATGTGGCTAAAGTGATTGGATCTGTGCAGTGATTCAGGTTTTCCTGCACTCCTGGGGCAGCATCCCCACACTGGCTTGGCCACATCCAACTACTTCGTTTATTCCGTCCCAGGAGGGAGGCTCTGTGCCCTCACCCTAAATGAAAAGAAGAGACCTCACCCTAAATGAAAAGAAGAATATTTTTCAGAGAGACTGTCTTCCAGAGAGAGCCTGCATTATGTTTAAGAAAAGCTGAAGGGCCAATGCTGTCACAATTTTCAGAGCAAGGCAATTTGTCATGGTGATTGAGTGTACTGTCCTGAATCAAGCAGGCCTGGGTTTGAGTCTTGGCTCTGCTACTTGCTACATAGATAACCTTGGTCATGTTACTCTCTAAGCTTCAGTTTCCACATATGTGAAGTAAAGATAATAAGTACCAACTGTTATTTTTATTAGGCTTGGGGAAAAAGACTACTCTCATACTAAAAGTTAACACAAGCCTAAGGAGAGAGATTCATTACTTACTAGTGGCAAAGCTAATTATAATCAGGATGCCATTTAATGAGTCCTTACTCTGTGCTACGTACTGTGCCAAGTGCTTAACATGGATAATATCATTTATTTCCCATGACTCCCATTTTATAAATGTAGAAACTGAGATGCAAAGTGGTTAATTAACTCGTTCAAGGTCACATATCTTGACCTTGGTTTGAATTCAAGGTAGTTTGAGTCTAGAGTCACTATTCATAACCACCAAGGCAAGCAGCTCAAAGTCCAGCATACGTGTAGCCCACTCACCATTCATGCCTTTTGGCATTACAGAGCAGGAAAGCGGGAAGGATACACTAGCAGCAAGAAAAGTTTCAACCTTCTTCCTTAGCCAATTTCTTACCCTATTTCTCATGCTACCTCCTGGCTCCCAAAGAAATATTTCAGGATAGACACTAACTAGTTAAGATAGGTGGAATGTCGATTGTCAAGAGAAGCAAGGAAAACAAATGGACGTGGGTAATCCACAAACTAAACAACCAGTTCCAAAGACACTAAAAACAGACAGCAGTTGTATCAAATAAGAGGGGGAAAAAAAAAAACGAAAAACAAAAACCAAACCAATCCTTTTTTATTAAAAGAATAGCATGTGCTAAAAAGAGCATCAGCTCCCAAAGAGGAAGAGAGACAGAAGATAAAGGACATGACAACAGAATGTTTTACGGGTGTATCTGAACACCAGAACTCACTGAGGATTCTAGAATCAATTTCTCTTTCCAATCTACTTACATATACAGGGGGGCTCATCAGACCATAAATACTATTTCTTGGACTATTTATAGCCAATGTTAGAATTGTAATGTCCTTCTAAAGCCACTACCATCCATAGGGACCTACGGGCACGTCCGTTACCTGTTTTTCCAACAGGACAGGGATTTGGAGGGTCTGGGTAGCCCTGATCTTCACTGAAGTCCTTGGGAATGTTGTCACCAGTCAACTCTGCCACGATGTTTGGGATGTTGCCAAAAGGACCCAAGTGTTGCAGGCCTTCATGAGCTCCCCCTGCCACAGAATCAGAAGTAGGTCATTTCAGTGCAATTGAATTCCTTTCGGCTAATATTTATTCAGGCACACCATACAAGCAAAGCACTGTACTCTATGTTGTGCAAGAGAAAAAGAATCAAACAATTCCTGCCTCCAAGGGTTTAAAAATTTAGTTGTGGAAACAAACACATACTGCATGTATATCATTTCCACGTGAGGCACATAATATACATGCTGTAACAGAAATGTCAATACAGCATTATGAGAGCATAGGAAAGGAAGAGTTTCATTTGACTGATAGTATGGGGAGGGCTTCTTGGACAAGATGAAACTTGAGTGGCACTGACACAAACGGGTAGGGCTTTGGAAGCTGGGCATGGGGCTTGGGAGGTGGGGGAAAAGAAAGGGAGGTGATTGGCATCCAGGCATGAGAACGGACTGAATGACAACACACAACCAAAAAACAGTAGGTAAAAGTCACTATCCTCCTACCATTCTTGATCAATCACTTAAAATGTGTTATATTTACTTCAATCTTTTCTCCTCTGCATATCATTTTATGTATAAATGTATATTCATATTTCACTTAATATTAAAACACAAGCATCTTCCCATATGGCTGCATGGTCTCAATTCTCATAACTACAAAGGGCTATGCCAGTATCTCTATCATGGCATATCAATCATTCCCCTGGTGAGTCATTTAGCGTTTCCCAATTTAGTCTTCGGTATTTAATTTTTTCCATATTTTGGCTTAATTTTCCTCAGGATAGATTCCCACAAGTTAAATTACTGGGTCAAAGGCTAAAAATATTTTTATGGTTCTGTATATTATATTGCTAAACTGTTCTCCAAAAAGGAGGTACCAATTTATAAAGTATCATCAACAAAATATGAGAATACCACTTTTACAACATCCTTACCAGCACTGAGTTTTATAAAAATAATTTTTATGCTTTCCTTGCTAATCGAAAAGGCTTTTAGAAAAATAACTGTTTTATTTTTAATATCCTATTACCAAGCCAGTCAAATATTTTTCCATGTGTTTATTTATTAGTTTTAATTTCTTTTTTGTGAGTTGTGTTTATGCTCTTGGAACTTTAGTGTTTTTATTATAAATTTGTATGAACGTTTTACATAAAAAAGATATCGGGCCTTTGGACGTCACATTTCCTGCAAATATTTTCCCATGTTGTCTGACTTCAAATTCTGGATATTGTTACAATATTTTGTTAACATAAGTTTTTAATTTTTATGTAGTCAGATTTATTGCTGTTATTCTCCTTTGTGATTTCTTCTCATCTTTTTAAATTTACAAAATTTTTGTCCCTTCAAAGTACTACCAACATTTCAATATTCCTTTTAGTTTTTCTATTTTTAAAATTAAATCTTCAATCCATATGTTCTGAGTTTTAGTGCATGTAAAAGTTAACCAATTCTCTCACCAGAATTTGTTAGGTAATTCTGTCCTTCTCCACTTATTACATTTCTTCAACAAATAATTAAGTGCCCCATACATACCCAAATCAGCTCGGAGCACCAAGGCACAGCAGTGCGTAAGAACAACTAATACTGTATAACTGGCTTTACTTATATATACAAATGCACATCAATTTCTGGACTCTTCTTTTCTTGTAGACTTAATATTCTATAAGGTACAGGAGCTTTACTTTTCCAGCACTAGAGCAGACCATTTCTGAGAACGAATTCCTATTTATTAACTTTATTGAGACACAGAGGTCCCATTCTCTCAGCTCCCTTAACACACAATCACTCTATACATAGACCTATACACAAAGGGCCAAATCAAAATCAAAAGGTGTGCATGAAATTAGAGTGAAAATCAGGCTAAAACAACTCCACACTTCCATCTCCAGGGGAAGAATGATCTTGCCAGTTGGTCATAGGTCCAGCAGCTGGATAAGGCTCCCTTCCCCCCTGAATGAGCACGAGGGCTGCCAAAGTGTGTCTTCTGACACTTGTTTTTTTTTTTTTTCTTGGCTGAACCAGCTCTACTTTGGATTGATACATATTTTTATTTGGAAATGTTAATGTATTCAGTAAAATCATGGCTAGATCTTAGTGTCCTGGAAATCCTATTGTCTCTCTGAAGTGACTTTTTGTCACTCTGTCTTAATTTATTATGTATGATTAAAATTTATCTTTAAAAGGATAATTTTACCCCCTTTAATTTAACCCCTCTAGCCCCCAAATAGAGACAGCACCAAGTATCTGGGTTGTTTTGTTTACATTTACATTATATTTCACTGCTTTGTGATGAGAGCGAGTGGCCTGTAAAAGTTCTGCATTTAAACAAAAGGTATTATTTTTGTAAATTTTCCATGAGAATATTTAAAATAAGTTGTATTTTTATATAGTCCATAAATATCTAAATGAACTAATTATTAAACATTAATTATAATTTTATACCCTTATTCATATTTTATTTGTTTAAACTATCATAATTTGGTGATAATATGTTAAAATCTACCAATATCTACCAATAAGTATCTACCAATCTACACTTATCTACTTATCTACCAATAAGTGTCTGTCAATCTCTCTTATTTCTTGCTGTTTTTACTTTAGCATTTTGATGCTATGCTGGCTGGCATGTCCCAGAGTATAAATTCTTCGTTTTAATTGTGTTATTAATTGGTTGTTAAGTAAAAATTAAAAAATCATATTTTGTTTCATATTTCTGCTATTAGCATTGCTCTCTCATTCTATTTTATGTTCAGTAAATCTTTGATTATCTTTTTATGTTTAACCTTTCTGTATCTTTCTGATGGTTTGCCTGACTCATACTGTGGTAGCTGGCTTCAGAGACATTCTGGTGATTCATATTTATTACCCAATATTAATCCGAGACATGCAAAAGGTTAAACAGACAGATCAATACACCTGGTATTGGTATCTTTGAAGCTTTGTACAATCTTGGCAATATAGCCACCACTGTACTTGCTATAGGGCATGCTCTCTGGTGTGTCAATACATGTCTTAACTTTTGAAAGCACCCCAGTCTTAAGTGCCAGGAATTATCCAACTTGGCTCAAAGACGAATGCGTGTCTTAATGCTCCATTAGTAATTAATGAAGGAAGCAAACACAGCTTCCTTTATGGAAGGCCTGCCAACGCTCTGTTTACCTCTGTGCACCAGTGCCATTAAAATGAATGCAGCACTTGTTAGGAAGCAACAGATGTTTAGCACTCGGCAGATACATTATAACACAGGCTCTTTAAAAACATTTTATGACATCAAATCAAGAAACACTCACTGAGGCAGGAACTGCGGGAGACATGTAGAAGTAACCAATGCTATCCTTTGCTCTCCGGGAGCTTGAATTTTATAGACAAGAAAAGTAACCACGTGTAGAAAATAATTTGGTAATTATAATAAATTGATAAGTTCATTATCAGTTATATATCAGAAAATGATATCGTTGAGTATACAACCAAATGCTAGTTATCCGATTCATTATAATGTTTAGATTATACTTATCTATTACACCTGAAGCCAAATCAACCAAAATGTTATGATGCTATATATGTTATTTGGTCCATTTGTCTCAGTCTCAACCAAACATGTATTTATTAATTGTTCTGTATGTTTAAAAATGTGTTTTGAGCATATATCAAGACCTGGACTAAGGGCTAGGGGGTCAGTGATGCACCAGATAAATGTGAGCCCTGTTCTCACAGTATTTATAATCTATAGGGTGATACAAAAAGAAACAGATACATAAAGAAATACTTAAAATGAGAGTTGTGATGCACTTATAATGTAACTGGAATACAGCAAGACGGTACAAGTGTGTAGAGGAGAAATATCTAACTGAGATCTAAAATGTGGAGGACTTCCTGCAAGAAGTGACATATCGATGACTATGTTAGGTGCTATAGAAGATCTAAATGTGAAAGACATGGTTCCTGCTTTCTAGTTGATTCTTCATTCTCACTGGTTATTTAAGGCTAACACAATAAGACAGTGCTATGTGATAAGACATATTCCCCAATACGATTCATTATGGTATAGACTATAAATGATGTAGAAATTCATTATGGTATAGACTATAAATGATGTAGAAACTAGGAACTTGCCAGGGAAACTTCCTTGGAAGAGGTGACACTTGAGTTGAATCATGAAATACAGAATTTATCCTTACTGGTGGCAAAGGAAAAACCACAAGTGAGGTGACAGAGGTAGGTGTGAGCATGGAATGTTTGAGCATCGGTGATGAGCACTGTTGGGGAAGGGAGGAGCTAGATGAGAGGGGAGAACAATGCCAAGCAGAAAAAGTATGAATTTATATAATGATAAGCAGCAACCAAAGCTTTCTGGGCAAGAGAGCAATGCAATCATTGGAGGTTGTGTAGGATATTAGTTTAGCAACAGTTTAAAGCTCTGTTCCTACCTAGGGGTGCACATCAGAATCACTTGTGGAGTTTAAAAAAAACTCCAATGCCCCCACTCCAAATCCAGTGTGTCCAAGTGTTCTTCTGAACACCACTATACAAAGGTGGATTGGAGAAAAGTTAAGAAGGCCTGCTATAGAGCTACTGTGGAAACTCGGGGGCAAAGATTGGGGTTAGCATGGCTGCAACAGGAGTAGCAAAAAGACAGATTTCAAACAGTGCACAAGGGAGAAATGAGTCAAGAGTTTATAAGCTTTCCAAAGTCTAGAGGCTCCCCGATTTGGGAAAATAATGCCATTGGTAAAGACAGGACCTTTCATTATGGCTTTGAAATTATTTCAGGCAATTAATTAATTCTAACCTGTAATGATGCTTTACTTATCTTTCCCCATCACAGCCATAGCACTCCACAAATGTCTCTAGAATAAACAGAAAATACTTAATTCTTGCCAAATAAAATTTAAGCCCAGTTTTGTTTATATAAAATTTGCTTTCAATAAGATTGGTACTGTGCAGCTGTTTATTTCCAGGCTCTAGATATTAAATTATTGGTAGGTTTTCTTTGCATCATTTTGGCAGTTAGTTGTCATGTTCAAGAGCAG